TAAGACAATTTTACCATTAATTTGGTTAGCCTTACAATAATCATGGGTAATTTTACAAACATAAAGATAAATGTATAACACTTATGGGATGCATACTTTTACTACCATATCGGTTACATTTAACATCGTTAAAGCAAGTATTACAACTATTGGGATAAGATCTACTATAATAGTGGACAATTTATCATAATTGAGGGTACATTTATCACATTGGAGTGTGATTTTATCATAATTGTGGATAAATTTACAAGTTTAGACTATAATTTATGACTTCTTTGATTAAGGTTACAATAATTTGGGGCAACATTATGAAGATAACAGGTGAATTTACCTCAGAAGTGGATTAATTCAAAACTATGGTGGATGAATTTATTACAACTGTGGCAACATTACAACATTAAAAGGAAAATTTACTACAATTTAAAGTTAAGTTAAAATGATTGTGGACAAAATTATTAGTATATAGACCAATTTTACTTTTATTTTGGTTAATATTACAAGAACAGTGGATAATAGTATAAACTTAAAGGTAAATTTACGATATCAATGGGATGCACTAGTGTCTTATTTATAACAAATGTGGTTAAATGTGTCAATCGTACTTTTACCACCATATTAGTTAAAGTTTGCCCAATATTATTGTAATTTTGTTAACTATTGTTATAAATTTCTCACTGATATTGTAATTTTGTCTACTATTATTATAAATTTTTCACTAATGTTGTATTTTTGTTCACTATTGTAGCAATTTTGCCCACTACTATTGTAAATTTTTTACTATTGCTGTAATTTTTTCATTGATATTATTATTTTTTTCACTATTATTGTAAATTTTTCACTAATATTATAAATTTCCCATTAATATTGTAACTTTGGCCTCAATTGGTATATAAAGACATTATAAAAAAAGCAATTGGTGAAACCGGTTGTCTTACTTTTTTCTTTTACATGTGACAATGTTTTGGAAATGACAACTTTTCGATATAATACCGAAAAAGCAAATAGGTACAGTAGACAAAGTCTTAACATGTAAATAATCATCTGAAAAACGTTGAACAATTAATATCACGGTATGCATAAGAAATCAAAGCCGGACAAATTTGTCTACTATGAAAGTTGCATCTTTATGAATACCATGATACTAATGGCAAGTTTGTTTCGGTTATTTGCATGTAGGATTAGACGAACATAGCCATTGCGCCCCCCCTATCCCATGTTTAGTAACCCTATTTCAGTTTGGCTTGGGCCCAGTCTTTTATCCTATCCTATAACATACTCATAAATCCTCTATTATGTATAAACTAAACCCATTTAGATTGTGGGATAAAATGATGGTAAGATTGGGATTGACAATATTTCTTTTCCGGACTAAAAGGGCTTGAATGGGATGGGATAGTCCAATTCAACCCACCCTATTCTGGAGCCCAGCTTGCCCTAGCAGTTTCTCTTTCTTTCTTTTTTTTTCTTTTTTTTGTGGGTTTTGGAACAAAAGAAGACTAGTGTGCCGCTATATAGATTTTGTATGTCTCCGAATTTTTAGTGAACTAAAAACTAATCCTTAATGAAAGAGATGTTGCATGAGTCAAACCTTTCGAACTATCTCATTTTCAGGCTCAACTCGAGTTACTATCAAAGGTTGGAACTCAGTTGTCAATCTTGAACCAGCTCATCTCAACAAAAATTCTAGATCATATGCTTAGATTCTACCCGTCACTTCTTTGTAATTTGAGATCATGTTCAAGTACGTTCAAAAAACACACACTCAATGAGACTCAACATGCTGTCTCTTGATTAGAAGTCAGATATTTTATTATCCATTTAAGCCCAGCATGTTTTTTTTTCCCACTAAGAAGAGTACAGATTACTTGTTGCATAAACAAATTAATAGTATTCAAAAATCGAGCTTACAAAGTCGAGTAACATTAATCTCACTCAGTTAAACATTAGACTAGCTTATAAATTTGGTCATACTTAGTTCATTTTCACACTCATACGAGTTTAAATGAGCTAAATTGAACTGAATTTGAACAACTCAATTGTTTATGATGTTGGTATTATGTCATCGATGACTCGTAATATCACTATCCAATAACAAGTTTAGATATATAAGAAATAGTTATCATCTTAGGAATGCTATTTATTCCACTTGTTTATCTACGGAACTAATTTGTGCACATACAAAATTTTTGTGTATAGTACACGATATATATTAATAAGTAATAAGGAAAATTTTAGAAACACGTTTTTTAATTTATCATATTTTCAAGGACACCCTTCTATTATCTGAAACATCCCTGACATCATTTCTAGTTTATATTTAAACATCACTGGCACCTCATATCTTTAAACAATTGTTTCTAACAAAAAAAAAATCATCTAAAATATTAAAGTTACCCCTACACAAATCTAAACAATTTTTTTACATAAAATTCAATTAATCTTCAAGTCGATTAAAATTTATTTTTTTACATATTAAAATTCGAGTTGATTAAAATTTATTTATTTTTCATATTAAAATTTGAGCCAATTAAAATTCGATTCAAACTAATAATTTTTTTTACGTATTAAAATTCGAGTCAATTTGAAATCTACCTGAGTTGTTATCATCGATTAAAATTCGCTTCAAATAGATTAAAATTTATATATTTTATTTATTAAAATTCGTGTCAATTGAAATTCGATTCAAGTTGATTAAAATTTGATTCAAGCCAATTAAAAATGTTTTAATTGGCTCGAATAAAATTTTAATCAGCTTAAATTTTAATACCTAAAAAAATATAATTTTTAATTGACTCAAATTTTAATACCTACAAAATAAATTTTAATTAGCTTGAATCAAATTTTAATCTGCCCGAATTGTAACACGTAAAAAAATTTAGAAAATAGAGGGAGTGTGAATAAAATTTTTCTTAAAATATATCATGGATAATTTAGTAAAATTACATTATAATTAACACTTTTAATCTGGCAGGAGTTGTCAATGAAGATTCAAAAAATAGAAGAGATGTCCTTGAATATATGATAAATTAAAAAGAATGTAACAAAAAAATTGCCAAATATTAATATCACAATGAATATTTTACTTATTTTATGAGCCATACACGACAACCAAACTCTACATGCAAGTAGACAAAATCATAACAATCCTAATTTCATGGCAGTGCCATTTGTTGGAGTAAATAACGAATATAACAGTGATATCATGTCAATATTGATGACTTGGTATTAGCAACTAATAATAAAAATCTAAATTAAAAAGATGAATCCCACTTAAGCTTATATAGTAAATGAATAGTGAGTTATTTGCTTACACGATAAATTAATAATTAATTTTTGTAAGATCCATCTGTTTATTTATTTTATTATTATTAATTGATAATATCATATCACCTTATTATATGACATCACCGTTATAATAAATATTTTCTCAATTTGTTGGAAAAAATTTCCTTATCAAAACAAATTTGCCTTGAAATCAGGCCTACTCCATGTAGTTTATTTTTACTTTGTCTTTTATCTTGGGTGAAATCTATTTTTACCTTGGATTTCTACTTCATAGACACTGTCCAATTTCCTCTTCAGCTGTCACATCCAACCCCACCTTGGATTCCATTTTAGCCATTGACAAAATGTCAATCATCACTGTGACAAGTCTGACCTTAATGACTTAGCAGACCAACTGGCCTCACATTGTGGACAGTATAAAAATCATAATAAAAAAGGTTAATCTCATTTTATACCTCAAAAGATTATTCGAATTTTAATTTATACCCTCAAAGATTAAAAATTTTAATTTACACCCTCAAAGATAGAAATTTGTATCAATGTACACCCCCAAAGATCAAAAATCTCAATTTACACCCTCAAAGATAAAAATCTGTATCAATGTGCACCTAAAACTAAATTGATAAATTATACCTAAATCCCCTCATGTTTGTCACTTAATCATTTGAACCCCTTCACATTTAGAATATTACCCCTACATCTCATGACGTTTATACATGTGTAAACATAACCACTTTTCGTTGATATCTATTAATATAATCGTTAAAAAATATAATTTTATCCTAATAAAAAATTATAATTTTATATTACCCTTTATTTTGTGGATTCAATATACTCTAAAGTTCAAAATCAAGTTTACCATTTGAATGTGTAATGGAATATAGATATTTATAAAAACGAAAATATGAAAAACATTATATAAATATCTACATTTTATTAGACATTCAAATGGTAAGTTTGATTTTGAACTTTAGAGTATATTGGACTCATAAAATAAGGGTAATATGAAATTATAATTTTTTATTAGGATAAAATTATATTTTTTAACGGTTATATTAATAGATATCAATGAAAATAAGTTACATGTTGTATGTGCATAAATGTCATGAGATGTAAGAGTAATATTCTAAATGTAAAGAGGTCCAAATGATTAAGTGACAAACATGAGGGGATCTAGGTATAATTTATCAATTTAGTTTTAGGTGCATAATGATACAAATTTCTATATTTGAGAGTGCAAATTGAGATTTTTTATCTTTGAGGTGCACATTAATATAAATTTCTATCTTTGAGGGTGCAAATTAAAATTTTTGATCTTTGGGGGTGCACATTGATACAAATTTCTATCTTTTAGGGTAAAAATTAAAATTTTTGATCTTTGAGGGTGCACATTAAGATTCGAACTATCTTTCGGAGTATAAAATGAGATTAACCCTAATAAAAACACAAACATCCTTGTTATGCCTTACGACTACGGTTCAAATTATAAATCTATACAGATACGTTTTAGTTGAATTGTATTCGATTTAATACCTTTCAATCCAATATCCTATCGTGTTCTGGGTAATTGGATTCCAGTTGGCTATTTGACAAAATGTCCTCCTCCTTTAGACTGTGACATGTCTGACCTTAACGACTTGCAAGGCCAAAAGGGCAAAAACTATTTTGGACTTTATAAAAATCATAATAAAAAACAGACATACCTATCAACTTTATTAAACCCTTTGAAAATTGGAAAACTACACCCACCACAAATATAATAATGACACCATGCAGTAATAAATTTTTATTGTAATCATGAGAAATTTATAAACACAGACAACAACAATGGGAATATGGCTTGGGGAACCTAAAGGTATGAAATATATACATACCCTATTCATGATCATGTCCCATATAATATCCTATGACCCTCAATGACTCTATGCACTCTCCTTCTCTATTCACAGTAAAGAACTGACACCAATAAAATTGAAATGAAGAGTAATATGACAGTAATGAGCATGTCAAGATACAGAGGTTACAGCCTTCTCATCAAATGGATGTTCCCTCAGCCCGGCTTGATCGGTTCCGGTGGTGTCGCTTGCCATGATGGTGGCGGCCTCCACCAAATGTAACCGGATCAAAACCTCGGAGCCTCTCAGCTTCTTGGGGATCAATGACACATTCTGATGGAGGAGCCGTATATCGAGTCTTATCATAGCAATAAGAATACTGCATGTGCTTCTTTCTGAAGTGCCCCATTTTGATTCTTTGCTCATGTGTGATACCAGTAGGGATTGCTTCAGAGTTTGGGACATTGTCGCACTTAGATGACTGTTCAATTGGATCAACTGCACAGCCATGAAGGACGAGGTCTGAGAATTTGGCAATATAAGGGGCATATTTGTAATTGACTTTGTATTTGCCTCCATTAGTAGCCCAGTTTGATCCATCCCAGATTGTGGCATACAAAGACATTGGCTTGGAGGGGAAGTCCCCACCCATTTCCTCTGTCCTTTTGATCTCTCTAATGGGAACATTGTCGACATAAAAACTGCACCAAAACAAACAAAAGAACCAGAGTCAAGAAAAAAAAAACATAAATGCATTCAATGAGCAAAACTGTCCTACTACTAACCATTACAGAGTTGACTTACACGGAAGAGAGAGAAAAAAGAAAGATGTGAAAGGGTAGAAGAAATCCATTGTTGTTGCAGTAAAATCTCTCCCCCCGCCCTCTCTCTCTCTCTCACAGAAAACAAAGACATACTAATGCAAATAACTTATATTGGGTATGTATGTAGATCCTAATGTTACTAATATAGTTAAAAATGAAAACTACGGTAATTGTTGATATATAACTAGAATAAACTCGACTAAGCAATGAAATGTCATTATGATTGAAGAAAAAGGACATCTATCCCTCAATTTCCAACTGTAAAACACCAAGCCATTAATGAGCAAAACCTATATTACAACTGTTATTAGTTGATTTTAAAAGCAATACACCCTTGATGGGTATGAAAAACAATGACATAATTGCATTAACAGGGTGTGTGGTTTTTTAAAAAATAAAAAATAGATTAGCAGACAATTAAAATGGTGTCCAATTTAGTTAGGAAACTCAACGACCCAGAAAAAGGGTTGGGAAAGCCAATTAAATAGGGCTACCTACATAACAAATCTCTGTAGGTAGCATTTTACAATTGTACAAAAATGCATTTAGCTGAAGTTTAAATAATTGGAAAATTTATTTATGGTAAAATACGGGAACTGGGTTCAAGGATTTCAACAGAATGTAGTAATTCACTAAAACCGAGCAATTTCAATACAAAATGCCCAAAAAAGAAAGCTTGCTGTTGTCCTACAACAGAGACATCACAACAAAACCACTAAAAACAGTAAACAAAAACTAGTGCATAACAGATAATGAGATTGTGTAAAACATGAAAGTAGCCAAGAATAGGAAAAAATTGAACAAGAGTAAGCAACCAAGAAGAGGAAATATTGAACCAAACCAGCAAATGTTTCTTACATAATCTGATTCTCAGTCCACAGGATACTGTATTGATGGAAATCTTCTGAAGGATCAAACCAGAGGCCATATCTTTCTTCTCTGCCAACGTTTGTGCTTCCATTGCCATAAACATTGGTCTGAATCCTCCAATCTTTGCCTCTGATATTCCCCAAGAACTCGAAGTCTAACTCATCATGGTTTTTCTCAAATATGTCTCCGTTTGACATCTGCAATCCAAAAAAAACAAATTACAAACGAATCAAATTTCCAAGGAAAATTCAAGAGAAAGGGGGACTTGCAAGAAATAAATATGGACCCAACTAAACATTCTGTGAACTATTCATATGGGTATTACTGGCCTGAACAGCTTTTGGTATTGAATATAGAAATTTGTCGCAAAAATGTATTGAATCGTTATTTGTTAATTTATATTTTTTCACTAGAATTTCAAAGAATGAAGAAACTGACAAGGAAGAATCCAGCGGCAGTGATTTTTTTGTTTAATTTTTGTTCTGGAATAATACTAATTGGTTGAAATATTTTGCATATAATGTATAATTTCTTAACAATATAAATACGATTCATAGAAAAAATAAGTAAACAATCCACCACTTGGGTCTTGTGGATTTAATCAGTAACTTTGGCTTAAAGCATTTCATAAATCAACTTCACTTGTCAGAACCGTCTCAGTGTGGTCGATTTTTACCATAGTTGGAAAAACAAATTACTTATGGCCGGTACAAAGAAACGGTTTCCAAGAAACCCATCTCTGTCTGGGGGTTTGATGAGATATTTAAAACGTAAATCCTTAATATGAAATGAAATTCAAGAAATTTAAGTGGTAAACCGATCTGGGTTTGATTGATTAGATTAGGGGCTAGAATCAGTATACTCACATAAAATGCAACAACAACACCAGCTGTGTAATCTGCAGGTAGCTTAATGGAAGCACTAAAGAATCCATGAAGATAAAGGTCTTGAGAAACAAACCCAGAACCTGTACATATACGATCAAAAATCTCATCAAAACCAACCAATAAAGAAAGAACTAAATCAATACAAATTCCATCAAAGCAAGAAAAGATTATATATAGAGGAGTATGTGCATATGTGTGTGAAAAGGTGACCTGTTCTTTCATCTAGAGAGATGTGAACTCTTTTTCCATCCTTAAGGACCATGAGATTATCATCACCGAAAAGCTGTGAATACCCTTCATCAAATGATAGAATTGGTAGGTTTGTTGAAGACCCAAAAGCAAAAACAAGAACAGAGCATAATACCAAGAGACCCACATAGTCATTCACCATTGTTGAAGTAATCAGTGTTTTTTCAGCCTAAAAAATTAATCAGTGGTTTTGATCAGTTCTAGAGCACAATATATAGAGCCTTCTGGGTGTTTCTTGTGAGCTGAAGAGTCGTCTAAAAGAAGGAAAGGAGAGGAGACGAGGCAAGAAGAGAGGTTTCAATCACTCCAACAATGTGTGTATGAATGAGAGAGAGAGAAACTGAAAAAAAGCTAATGAGGAGGACAAGGGGAGCTCATTTTATTGGTGGTGTTGAGAAGTGTGAGCTATTCATAGCATAGACACAATTTGTGCAATGCATGCCTTTTCTTTTGGCTAATGATTCAATTGATATTAATTAGTGGTAATAATTAAATTTCTAAAAGTTTAGGGTTTTCTACGCTAATTGAAAGGACAGAAAGGGGCCTCTCCTAATTTGTCATTTTCATTTTTCACCCCTCATTTTCATAACATATAAACTACTCGCATAATACTTGCCATATCCAAGATATTAAAAGATGATATTTTCTAAATAATACATGAAAAATATATAGTTATTAAATAAATTTTTATTATTCCTATTTCTGCTACACTTAAAAGGATATATTTGCCATCTTGTAACAAGCGTTTTATTTTAAGTATTACATAATGAATACAAATGCCATAAAACAATTTCGATTCATTAGATGATTAGGGTTTATGAAAATACCACTTTGTCTGTCTTCTTGTGGCTGGGTCAGGTCATTCTTCCCTCTTGTTACAAGGAGAATCTCTTTTCCATGCTAACCCTATCAACTCCAACCCTCCCCCTAAATAAACAAAACAAGAAACCTTTTTTTTGTTGTGGGGCTTGTGCGATAATGGGTTAAATTTTGGGTATTGATACGTATATATTGAAAAATTAAAAATAAAAAGATAAAAATCATTTCCAACTCGTGAGTTCAGAGCAATTGTTTTTCCTATTACATTGTGTCATTTTAAAAATCAACAATAAATTTAGTGTTGCATGTCCAGCATTCAAAATTAGGAAATGGCATTAACCATGCCCTATAATTGCTGGCACATGGGGATTTCCTACATCAAAATTAGGTTTGGTTTTTGGGTACAACCACTCTTACTGTAAAGCTTGGACAGGCAATTCAATTCTGTGTTGAAATTGGAATGTAACAAAGTCATTGTTTTATCAAACTTTTGCCAAATCATTAAACAATTTGTTGCCATCACTAATTGCAATAAGGCTTCTTTGCCTGTAATGCACATACATGGTTTTTTTTCGGTATTTTTTTTTTTTTGAGGTTATAAGTACTAGTTTATGTATCATTTGGGTAAAAAAAAAATTTGTATAGGTGTCATTTTTTGATAAATAGTAACATACATGCTTGTTTTAAATTTTAAGAAATTATTTGTTTACTTAAAAAAATAGTTAAAAGATATTGACCAATGGTTTTAGAGTTTTTGTTTTTTTAGAAAATATTATACAATTCAAATGAAACCCAAAAACTGTTACTCAAATGCATCTCATCTCTTACATGGGTGAGTCTCATTAGAAAAGTTGATGGAATTTACTCATCTAATAGATGATATTTAAATTATAATTTTTTTGGTTTAATTTGAGTTGTGTTGCATTATTATTTTTTTTTATATCAACAAATAGTTAACATTTCATGTACTTGTATCAACCTTCCTTTGTGGGTTTGTTTCCATTATATTAGCTTTAAGCCCTTATTTTTTTTTATCAACAGGAATGAAGATGATCAGTAGATCGTGATCCTCTCTGGAAGTAATCATAAAGGAGGACAAATGTGTAATTCGGAGAGACATTCCTAACTATGAATTGAAGACACTAATCATTATTTATTACCTTCTTTAGTAGGTGGAGTCGAAAGATTACAAATTTAAGATATTATCTGGAGTGCATAACGAAAAGTTAAGTGATAATGTGTATTATATACTTGACCCCGCTTTTTTTTTTATTCCCTCTTTCTACGATGAGTTTTGGCACTTTATCCCTCGCTTATGCCTGAATATGAATAAAGCACCAAATTCAAATCGTTCCGTCTTCAACAAGGGATAAAGTGTGAAAAATTATAGCAAACGCAAAGGTGATAATAAAAAACCAAGAAGTGGGGGCAAAAAAGAATCCATCATTGGGGCAAAAAAGTAATAAACAAAACTTTAGGTCTAAAAAGAGGTCTCCCTTTCTTGAGTTTATTATTTTTTAACTTGATAATCAAATATTTAAAAAATGAGGAAAAAAGGAAAAGGGACAGCTCGTTGCATTGGCGACGACGTAACCAGCCCAGCTACCCTTTTTTGGGTTTGTATCTGTTTTTCCTAAATTACCCTTCGTCATGTCCTAAATCTACGGATTTGCCACCGCAAAGAAGGATGGTTGGTCATTAGGTGAAAAAGGGGGCATTTCATGGAACGAAAAGCGGGAACGCTCTTGTCAACAAGGGACGCGTAGCAAGCGCAATATAGCAGGAGCGTCCCTTAACTTACGCGTAATGCAACGTGGCACAATCCTGGCGATAAATCGCCGATTAGACGCGCGGGCTTCTATTCATAGTGTTCGTTTTGCTTCTGACGGCAACAACTTGTTCCGCCATGTCGTCAACACTAGCCGTTGCTTAAATGGGTCCCACCTGACAAAAAAAATCTGTGGAGAGAGAAAATATGCTGGAGAGCGAAATTGAGTCCCGCGTGTCTGTGGTGGCGAAATTTATGGGGACTTTACTGAGAAATTAACGGCGTTAATGTTGGGGTCAATTTGGGGGTCTTCACGTCCGTCTAAAACGGCGTCACATTTGGCTGGACCCCAGGTTTTCCCGCGTACGAAAACAATGTCTTGATGTAACAAAATTGTGACAATTCTGTGAAAATCCTCCGACTACTTGTATAAAAACTGATGATACCTCTCACTAAAATTTGACATTTTTAGTAAAGAATATTTTTGACTAATCTTTCTATTCTGCAAAACGAATAAATTATCCAAGATCGAAGTGTTTCGATCAAAGAAACTTCGATGCTTAAGTCAATAATGAAATTTAGACAATTACAAGAAGACAATGAGAGTTCAACATACTTTTTTGGTTGGGTTTTTATGAATTTCGATTCAAGGTGGCACACCTTCTTTTATTTCAATGATTTAATTTGAAAAGCTGTTGTAATCTCTATGGCAATTCCCTTGACTTATAATTAAGCTTATTAGCTTATCTTGTATACCTAAGTTTTTAGCGAATCTTTGTCTTTCCGTTTGCTATTTCAATTTAGCTTGGTCACGATAAGGACCGAACTCATTCCTCGAACACCGATGATGTTGATTAGTGCCGAACTCATTCATTGCTTCCTGACTCATTAAACAACACGGTTTGGTAAGAATTGAGCTTATTCTCTGCTTGCCGAGTTTATTGAATAGTTCGGCTAGGTGTGTTTGCCTCAGTGATTCATGTCTTTCTCACGTGTCTTGTCTTGCTATCTTCATGTGAGCTCATTAATTGTCATAACACGTGTAATAATGAGGGTCAGCCTCTTCACTACTTGTGGAACATAACATAGATACATGCATAGTAACTTTTTTTGGTATTGACATAAAATGACAAGGTTACTAAATAAAGTTATTAAATATTTTTTTATGAACAGATACCCTATAAAAAATTTAAGAAAACGTATTAATTCAACTATTTATATTGATTTAAAATGTAAAATTTAAAAAATATTTTGAAAACTCTAACAATGTTATATGCATATTATCAACATATAATCATGAAATCTCTCGTTTGTCGAACTATAATTGATGATGCACAAAAATAATTTTGAACACCACCTGTCAAGTGTAAATAATAAATGCAGTAAAAGTAAAGAGAGAATTGGAGGAGACAAGATTTATAGTGGTTCAGTCAACTCGACCTACATCCACTCTTGAATGACTTTCGTTGTCGAGTACTTTATTAATTTAGGGGTATGGAGATAGAGAATACAAGCTTCGAGGGAGAATAGAGAATCAAGGAAGGTGTGGTGCCAAGCAATCAGTCTCTTCCTAAGTGTTGATGGAGTGTGCAAACTCCAAACCTTTCCCACTTTATTTTGAAGAGGGTCCATAATCTTCAATTTGGGCTTTTTCCATCTTTTTTTTTTTAAAAAAAAAAATCCCCTAGACTATAAGTATAGTCTTCTTCTCCATCCTACCCATTTTGTTGAAGCTTTGAGAAGCAAAAGTGTGTTCTTCTTGAATTCTTCCAAGAGTGGAATTTCTTCCTTTTTAATAGAGTTTCTCAAGTGGGTAATGCCGATTGAAGAGGGAATGGTGGAGATTGAAGAAAGGGAGGAGGTAGGCACCATTTTAGGAAACTTGGAGGCTGGCTTTGACCATTCGGGTGCTGTCCTGGACAGCCTTGATGCCAAAAATGGTGGACTAGATAGCCTAGGTGTCGAAGGTGGTGGGTTGGACAGCTTAGTTTCGCAAATCTCTCCGCTGGACAGCACCTTCGCCCGAATAAGCGCGCAGAGAGGCGGTCTGGGCAGCGCAGGAAAACTGGGCAGCGCGGAAGGAGGTCTGGACAGCAAGCAAGGAAGTCTGGACAGCGCAAACGCGCGACTGGGCAGCGCGCGCGCGTAGTCTGGCGCGCTGGGCAATTGCCTGAGCGCTGATTTTGTTGTCTTGGACAGCCCAGGTGCGCTAGGCAGTTTCTTGGATGCTGTTTCTGCTGTCTTGGACAGCTCAACCGCACTGGGCAGCACAAATTATGTTGTTCTGGGCAGCGTTCGAGTGCTGGTCAGCAACATTTCTTCAGCAAAAAGTGCTGGAAATCAGTCCAAGGTGCAGCAGGGAGAGCTAGCCAGCGGCATGGGAGCACGGACAGATCTGAGCGCCACTCCAGGCGCTGATTTTGGTGCTGAAAATTCTATTTTGTGCAATTTTGAAAGGTCAGGCACCCTTCCAGCTACTGGCCAACTCCGTTTTGGCGAGCAAAGGCAGTCAGGCACCCTTCCAAGTGTTTGGGCTAGACATTGCAAGCGGTAAGGAAGTTTTGGGTGCTGCTTTTGATGATCGAGACCCTACTGTGACTCCTTCGATTCAAGTTCCTCAAGAATTCCCGAAGGATGATTTAGACTACTCCTTACGGCCCCGGAAGAAGAAACGTAAAGGCAAAGTGGGACTCGATGATGACGAGTCGAAGGTGAGTACCCTTTCCAGTCTGTTCCGTTTAAATAAAGATATCTCTAGGCTTGTTTTTACTTATCGCATTCCTCCGACCGTGCTGTGCCGTCGGGCTGATTTGGGCGAGCTTGCTTGTGATGACTCTTCTAGTGATAT